GGGTGATGGTTGGTGATGGTGAGGGTGATTGTGGTGATGGTGAGGATGATGGTTGGTGATGGTGAGGGTGATGGTGGTGATGGTGAGGGTGATTGTGGTGATGGTGAGGGTGATGGTGGTGAAGGTGATGGTGGGGGTCAGGGAGGGGGTGGGTTGATTGTGGTGAGGGTGATGGTGAGGGTGAGGGTGAGGGTTGCCACCCCCTCTACCTACCCCCTCCCCTCTACCTACCCCTCCCCCTTTCCCTCTCCTCTACCTACCCCCTTCCCCCTTCCTCTCCCTCTACCTACCCCCTACCCCTTTCCACCCCCTCTCCCTACCCCCTCCCCCTTTCCACCCCCTCTACCTACCCCCTCCCCCTTCCCACCCCCTCTACCTACCCCCTCCCCCTTTCCTCCCCCTCTACCTACCCCCTCCCCCTTCCCACCCCCTCTACCTACCCCTCCCCCTTCCCACCCCCTCCTACCTACCCCCTCCCCCTTTCCTCCCCCTCTACCTACCCCTCCCCCTTCCCACCCCCTCCCCCTTTCCTCCCCCTCTAACCTACCCCCTCCCCCTTTCCTCCCCCTCTACCTACCCCCTTCCCCCTTTCCTCCCCCTCTACCTACCCCCTCCCCCTTCCCACCCCCTCCCCCTTTCCTCCCCCTCTACCTACCCCCTCCCCCTTCCCACCCCCTCCCCCTTTCCTCCCCCTCTACCTACCCCCTCCCCCTTCTCACCCCCTCTACCTACCCCCTCCCCCGTCCTCCTCCTCTACCTACCCCTCCCCCTTCCCACCCCCTCTACCTACCCCCTCCCCCGTCCTCCCCCTCTAACTACCCCCCTCCCCCTCTACCTACCCCCTCCCCCGTCCTCCTCCTCTAACTACCCCCTCCCCCTCTACCTACCCCCTCCCCCTTTCCTCCGAACCCGTTCTATTCTTCCTTAAAATCATCCTCAATCCTATTTATATCATTATCCCCTTAACTCCTTCCTTTCCCATCCTTTACTTCCTTTACTCTCCTCACCGCTCGCCTATCTTCCTCGCCTCATCTTCATCGCAGCTCTCGCCTCTCCCCTCATCGCTTGCCCTTTTCCTCGCCTCATGCCTCTCTCTTCACCGCTCGCCTCTGTCCTCACCACTCGCCGTTTTCCTCACCGCTCGCTTCTCTCCTCTCTCCTCACCGCTCGCTTCTCTCCTCTCTCCTCACCCTTCGCCTCCCTCCCTATTGTTCGCCTCTCTCCTCACATTTCGCCTCCCTTTTCTCTCCTCATCGCTCGCCTCTCTCCTCTCTCCTCACTTCTCCTCTCTCTCCTCTCCTCTTTCCTCACTTCGCTTCTCTCCCCGTCGCTCGCATCTCTCCTCTCTCCTTACCCTTCCGCCTCTCTCCTCGCCTCTCTCCTTGCCGATAGCCTTTCTCCTCTCTCCTCACCGCTCGCCTCTCTCCTCACTACTCGCCTCTCTCCTCTCTCCTCGCCTCTCTCCTCTCTCCTCACTTCTCCTCTCTCTCATCTCCTCTTTCCTCAATTCGCTTCTCTCCCCGTCGCTCGCATCTCTCCTCTCTCCTTACCCTTCGCCTCTCTCCTCTCTCCTCGCCTCTCTCCTCACTGCTCCTCTCTCTCCTCTCCTCTTTCCTCACTTCGCTTCTCTCCCCGTCGCTCGCATCTCTCCTCTCTCCTTACCCTTCGCCTCTCTCCTTGCCGATAGCCTTTCTCCTCTCTCCTCACCGCTCGCCTCTCTCCTCACTGCTCCTCTCTCTCCTCTCCTCTTTCCTCACTTCGTTTCTCTCCCCGTCGCTCGCATCTCTCCTCTCTCCTTACCCTTCGCCTCTCTCCTCTCTCCTTGCCGATAGCCTTTTTTCTCTCTCCTCGCCGCTCGCCTCTCTCCTCACCGCTCGCCTCCCTCCTCATCGCTCGCCTCTCCCCTCATCTCTCGCCTCCCTCCTCACCGCCCGCCTCCCTCCTCACCGTTCGCCTCCCTCCTTACCCTTCGCATCTCTCCTCTCTCCTTACCCTTCCCCTCTCTCCTCTCTCCTTACCCTTCGCCTCTCTCCTCTTTCCTTACCCTTCGCCTCTCTCCTCTCTCCTTACCCTTCGCCTCTCTCCTCTTTCCTTACCCTTCGCCTCTCTCCTCTCTCCTTACCCTTCGCCTCTCTCCTCTCTCCTTACCCTTCGCCTCTCTCCTCTCTCCTCACCGCTCGCCTCTTCAACAGGGAGACGAAGGGGGCCCGATTCTCGTAGACGGCGTCCAGGTGGCGCTGGTGTCGCAGAACGTGGGTTGCCAAGCTTATCCGGCCATCGTCACCCGCCTCGGCCCCTTCCTCGAGTGGATCAAGGATCACTTCGAAGCCTGAAGTGGGTTCTTCTCGAAGGTCGTCCTCGAAAGGAGTGTGAGGGTCGAGTCGTCCTCGGAAGAAGGGTGGGAGAGGTTTGGGGCATCGTGAGGCCGCCCGGTTGGTGGGAATAAAAAGGAAGATGATAATGATGGAAGGAGGGTTTTTTTTTTCCTTTTCCCCGTTTTCTAGTTTTGTTGAGAAAATGGGAATAGATATAATGATGATTACGGGAATTACAGTAATGGTGCAGAGAATGTATGGTGATATTAACAGGTGAGAAAAAGGGAAATTATGTTGATCTCCGTAATGGTGATAGTAATGGTGGTTTTAATGACAGTTATAAAGAAATTCATGATGATGTATGGTAGCAACAATTAACCCATTCGCGCCGGGTAAAAATGAACAAAAAATGGGGGAAATGCTGTGTTCCTTTTTTATATTTTTTAATGAAATTTCTCTACACTAGATGGCTCTGCTTTACCGGATTTCATTTGGCGGGAAAATGTATTTTTACTAGTGCTATGAATATCAATGGTTATTTCTATTATAAACATTATAATTACTCTAATGTAATAAACATTAGTAACAGGAAAATAAAATAACGCAAAATAATTTCGTAAATTAAAGAAAAGGGTAAACAGACGAGACAGGCAGTACAAGTGCAAGAGGAGCCATCTATGTTTGTAAACAATCAAACAAGTAAACTCAAAGTGGGCCCGTCACCTATACGTGACGCCCGGCGCGAATGGGTTAAAATAATGATAATAACAACAATGATAACAAAAATGTTGCTGCTACTGATAATGATAACAATTGTAATGATGATTATAATAGTGGTATTGATAAAATGAAGATAATGATAATGATGACAATTTTGATAATCATGAGGATAATAATGATAATGATAATGATATGATCATCAAAATTATATAAAAGATAACAAGTATAATCATAATATCTCAACCTTTGTGATATTGATAAATCGATGAGAGTCAGAAAACTTTAAAAGCTACCCCTGCACTTCGAGAGTCACCGTTTTCTTTAAATTGATAAATACATACCTAGCTTGAGGGTAGACTTACGCATCGTATTTGTATAATGAAAACGTTGTTGGAATACACACACACACACATGTATGTATATATATATATATATATATATATATATATATATATATATACATGTAAGGGGTTATAGATTTGATTGAACCTCTAAACATTGGTGACAGGGAGTAGTAAAAAGCTTGAGTGGCTTAAACCCTTTATTGATAAGAGTTCAGCACACGGTTATGATAACACAACGACGACAAGTCTTGGGTTAAGGCGAGGGTGCCTAGGTCACTGGCGAGCCCTGCCAAGCGGCAACCTGTCCGCGCGGTCAGACGGCCTTAAATATCCGAGCGTTGGCTTGGGGACGAGGGTAGGATAGCATACCCAAGCCACGCGGCTAGTGCAAGGGGGGACGAAGCTAGGTAGCGTGGGGACGTGGCGTACCCAGGCATGGGTCTGTTGCCACGTGGTCTGTATACAGTATATTGTATAATATATATATATTTATGTGTGTGTGTGTGTGTATGTATGTATAAACATATATACATATCTGTATATATGTATGTGTTTATATATGTGTATATATATGTATATATATATATATGTATGTGTGTGTGTGTGTGTGTATATCAAGGGGCATGGCCGCATCCACCTTTCGCTTCCAGCCACGAGGGTCCCTCATGGCGAGTCTCCAGACAGGCTCTCGGCCCATCTCTAACTCCCCAAAACAGGTCTGGTCAAGCTGCCTCCTCCACCCAGGATTGTCTCGATGACCCTGATGGGCAGGGTCGTCCACAGGGAAACGAGCTAGGTGCCCATATAGCCTGAGTTGGTGATCCCAGATTATGCAAGTAACAAGATTCTTGCCAGTCTCATGGTGTAGCTGTTGGTTGGACACATATCCTGTCAACTGTGCCCCATGGTTCAGTGAAGAGACTTATTACAAAAGACACCAAGACAAGACTCCAAGGCACTAGATAGTGTCCAGGTTTCACTTCCATAGAGCAAACCTGGCAGTATCAAGGTCTTGAAGATATGTAACTTGGTCTTTCTGCATAGGTACCAACATCTCCAAATGCTCAGATAGGAGAGTAACATCAATGATGCCCCACACTGCCCATTATCCAGTCCATGCAGTTGCTGAAAATTGTTGGTGCAAGGACACAACCTTGCCTCACCTCTGAATTAACAGGGAAGAAGTTCGACAAGCTCCCACCACACTTTACAGCATTCTCAGTACCGTTATATAGGCTAGCTATTAGGCAATTAATCCGTGTCGGAATTCCCGTCTCAGAATCTCCCAAACGACTTATTGAAGTTGATGTAGGCTGCAAGCAACCCATGACCGAACTCGTGACAGCATTCCACAATTACTTGAAGCGCTAAGATATGGTCTATTGTGGACTTGCCAGGAGTGAATCCAGACTGCTCCAGTCTCTGGTGCCTTAGTAGGTGGTCGAGGATCCATTTCAGAAGAATGTGGGCGAATACTTTGCTTGGTTTATTGAACAGTGTAATGCCACGGTCGTTGCTATGGTCCCAACGATCCCCTTTGCCTCTCAACAGGTGGTCAGGGGTAATGGAACCAGAAGGCAGTCAAGACTGCATGCAAACCCCATGCCATAGGTTCACCCCC